ACATATATAATTCTGTTGGTAAAGATAATAAGCAGATCTGAATTGATTTGGTGTAAACAAAATTGATGAAAGTACAACTTACCAGCATATGGTAAACAATATCATTCTTTAGGCTTAAAGGAGACTTAGGCAAGTGTAAAGTACCAATTATGCCCAAACTCGGTATATTTGCTTCTTATCTATGCAGGTGACAAATGCTGACCAAATTTTTTCCTGAGTGTCATATGCCGAAACTCCCTATAACTTTAATGTTTTAATAAAAGCGTATAAGCGAATAAGCGTATTAGCGTATAAGCGTATAAGCGAAAAATACATATTTCTACTTTGGTACAAATATTAAGTAATATTTCAACTCAAAATGAGCGGTTTTGGGGGGGTAGTTCCTCTACCATTTTTCGATTTGAGACCTCCTTCCGTCATTTTTGGCCCGAATTCAATATTTTTTCCATTATTTGCTCCCCTAAAGTACCCTAGAAATTGACACTAAGGAAAAAATTCTACCGTTAGTTATCATCAACATAGATAAGAAACAAATATACCGAGTTTGGGCAAGATTGGGAATTTACACTTGTCTAAGTCACCTTGGTAGTATACAGACACTATTACATTTACAATAATAATCATATTTTGTCAAAGTAACTGATCAGTACCGACCATGCTGAGGTAGCTTATAAACTAGTTACAAAAAACTACAAGTATTTGATCAGATAGTAAAAAAAACAAGTGCAACAAAAATTTATGCTACCCGGGGAGGCGCCTCTACCTGTCCAAGGTCCTTTTGTTCCTTCCACAACGCAAGCTCTTCAAAAGAAATCTTAGCAGTGAGGAAGTGTTCTCTCAGAGCCAACAAAAGTTTCAGCTCTTCCGGCAGATGCTTGTTCCTTGGAAAATCTATTAAGGAATATCAGCAAAAAGTTATTGAAAGTTTTCCCTGCTGTGACTAGAATTAAAGTAGGCCTACCTGCTTCATGTTGGTTCATTTGCTGCCATTCTGCCCGAATTACTGTGCCCTCCTGAACGAAGGGCAAAGCCTCTGAGTAATTGACCACTTTAGAAGTATGCTTTAAATTGTTTTTAGACTGGAGACATGGTCTAGATTCTTTGAAACTGGACATGGATGCTTCAGAGTTAATGCCTTGATAAGAGCTATGTTCTGGCTGAGCAGATGAACGGGAATAAGCAGATGGGCATTGTCTCAAAATATCTCTGCTAGGCGGGTTTGAAGGAGCTGGCAAACGCTTTTGAAGTTCTAATTGGATTTTACTGTGATACACCTAAAATAGCCGCATGATACATTAGAATATTTCAGTAGAAAGATGGGGATAATGGGGGAAGATATGCTTACATTGCCAGTTGACTCTTCTATTTTATTTCTCTCTTGCTTCTTCTGCTCCTCTACCTCTTGTGTTCTGCGCTGCAATTTCACCTCTTGCTTCATTTGATCATCTACCTCGTGTGATCTCGACTGCTCTTCCTCCTCTAGTAGTCTACTCTGCTTTTTCTCCACCTGCATTCTATGCTGCTCTTTCTCCTCTCGTAATCTATGCTGCTCCTTTTCCTCTTGCTTTGTTCGTTCCTCTTCTTTTTGCGATCTAAGCTCCTCTTCCTTCTTTATTCGTACTGCTTCACGTTCAGCTTCCAACTGTGCATTAAGTCTCTTTTCTTTCTGACGCCGACGTTCAAGGTCGGCTGTTTCCAGAATTTGTAACAGTTTGTCGTATTTTCCAGAACGGAAAACGTAATTGCCCTCACTTTCGTTTGGGTTCCTTTCGAGCCATAATAGATCCTTTCTGATGTCCTCAGGTGATAATTCTTGATGATAGGCGGATCCCAAGCCTTCTATCTGTAAAAGAACAATTCAGTGAAATCACAGTCTGCTTTGCAGTTTGGGCAGTGAATGGCAAGATTAAAATACTTATACTTATGA